TTTACAGGAACTTCTTTTCCACAGCTCATAAAACGGAGGAAAGGGTCCTGAAAGATATTGTTAATAGAAACGTTATCCCTACAGACAAAATCAGAGGATACAACTGACGATTTACTATAAAACCAGAAAAACGGCCAGCCTACTCATGAGAAACTCTCCAGACACAAAACAGAACGCTTTAAAAGAGACTAACGTCGTCTATGCCTTCAAATGCCCACTTGGGGACTGTAAGCTCCAAAAAACCCAGTATATAGGCAAGACAACAACATCTCTTTCTAGGCGTTTAACGATGCATAAGCAACAGGGCTCCATTAAGGAACATATAATCTCTTCCCACAACCAAACCATCGCCAGAGAAATCCTAGTAAACAACACAGAAATCATCGATAGATACAGCGATAGCAGGCGGCTTGACGTTTGCGAGGCACTACACATCAAGAAGTCAACACCAGCAATCAACAGCCAATTATTGCACAACTATATTCTACCCACCTCAAGACTCCGCTCCAATATAGAAGCATCAAGAAATATGGACCAATAGGCTTTCTACAAACACTTCTATTCAATATCCATTGTTTCGTGTTCTGTCTTGTGTTGATGAAATTAATACCTATTAATACCCTTGTTCTGTCTTGTGTTGATGAAATTAATACCCTATTAATACCACATTTTGTTCTGTCTTGTGTTAATGCCACATCACCCCTTCCACCTCACTCAAATGTAGATATAAAATCGGAGATACGTAAGTTCTATTCAGTTGTGTATTTGTGAACTAAAGTCTTTGAAAATGTAATAAGTTTTACGAAACGCGCCCGTGTCGCGTCAGACTAGAAATAAAAATGAATTTTGGAGAATTGATTTTTAATTTACCTCCAACAGTGAAGCGTAATGTACGAAAGATTGAGAAAATTTCTGTTAGAATTATTAATCTTACTTTTTCGGTCATATTTAATAATATATGTCTACAGGAAAGACTGCTACCAAAATATACTATATATATATATATATATATATATATATATATATATATATATATATATATATATATATATATATATATATATATATATATATATATATATATATATATATATATATATATATACACACCATAGGAAACATAGCTGAGAGGAATGACTGCCCAAGACAAGATGGACTACATCAGACGTGTAAGTGGGCAGCGGACAAGTACGTTCCAGTACAAAAGGAAGACAAAAACCGAATTGCAACTGGTTAAGGGGCCATCACACAGTAAAATGAAAGTTGATCAATTTCAATCAAACATTATTTGCTAGTTGTGTATGTAAAGGGCTTTAACTGGTCCAATTTTCAGCATCGCAGCATAAATAGCAAGGGAGAAAAAAATATTGAACTGTTTCAAAAGTTTTCCCAAAATTAACATTAAACACAAGTGACAACTGAAATCATATCTATGGCTCAAAGAAATCATAATAGCATATAATAAGCTATGTTAATATTTAGTTTCATGACAAAAAAATTTGTTTAAATATATATTAGATTTTTTTCTCAATTTTATTTTCTTGTTATCGGGCGATTTGCATGAAACTTATACACCTTACAGAACGTAAGCCTATCTGTAAGGGTACCAATTTGGGGGGAAATTGGTTGATGTCAATCTCAATCACAGGTCGCAGAATCTGTGGCTTTTATTTATTGTCATTTATTGTCAAGTAACACAAAATTTCTAGTTCTCTTTCATTTTTAATTCAATTTACATGAAACTTACACCCAAAATTTGCTTGTCCATTTTAAAGAATGAAGAACAATTTCTACTTATATTCTAAGCTGTATCACTTATGAACCCACCCCTGCCCTTGTGTGGCAGTGCACAATAGAAAGTTGTTTTCACATATCCACACATTAAAACATTGATTGTAACCGTGATATATATGTGCTTCAGCCTACAGTTTAGGCCTATTGTCTTATGTATGACCCTCTGTCCTGCGTGACAGTGAATACTAGCATTAACCTCAATTTAATAAGACTATCAAAATCCTCAGATTAGGCAAAATTGTAATTAATTTTGTCAATAAAGATGTTAATAATAATAATACTTATATGTAGCGTTTACGTCTTTACAATCTCACTAAAACACTTTATTCCTAAGTTTTTTTATTGATTTTATAAATATGTTCAAACCTGAAATATTGGCATAAATTTTGAAGGAAATTTAACTTTATTAGAAAAATTAACATATTTTAGATAATCCACTTAGACAAATCCTTTATTATATGTTAATGTGATAGAAGCGTGTCATAAAAACGATTTCATTTGAAACTTGTGGTCTTACTGACTTATTGAAAATGTGAAAAATTCGTTGAAAAAACATGTTTTATTTTTTCTCTCTTTCTATTTAGAGTGTGATACTGAAACTTGGACCAGTTGCAACCCTTTTCATATACAACTAGCAAATAAAGTTTGATTGGAATTGAACAACTTTTATTTTACCGTGATAAGCCTTTAACCCATGGTTTAATGAGGAATGTTCGCTGGCAAAGCAACTGAATACAAGGGGAATGATGGGAATGATGAGAAATGAGAGTAATGACTCACTCATCTGTGGGAGGAAGGCAGGGTTCCCCTCCCAGGTGACTGGGAGACTAGAGACACTCCACCCATCACCCACTACTACCTATCATCATCCATATGCAGGCGATGAGTCACAATAACGTGGCTGAAGTATGTTGACCAGACCACACACTAGAAATTGAAGGGACGACGACGTTTCGGTCCGTCTTGAGTAACAATCGACTTGAGAATGGTCCAGGACGGACCGAAACGTCGTCGTCCCTTCAATTTCTAGTGTGTGGTCTGGTCAACATATCATCATCCATGTTTGTATCAACCAGCTTCATTATCTTCCCATTTTCTATGCCTCTCCCTATTTTGTATTATGAGCACCATCACTAAATTAAATATATCTGAAAGAAAACTGTAAAAATAGACAACTATTAATGACATTTCCAATACTAAAAGCGAAATGTTGTGTGAAACTCCCTCTCTCATTATCTCTGAGTGAGGGAGGAGTTACAGGGAGAGGGGGTTGGGGATGAGAGGGTGGAAGGGGGGGTAGAAGAGTGGTGGGGACAGGCAGAGGCGGGGGGAACTAATGGAATAATCTGGGAAACATGTCTCCCCCCTTCAGAGCTCAGCTACCGCCCGCCCACCAATCACTCGTCAGATGTGGCAGCCAGGCCTCCACTAACAAGAATTTCCCAAATGGCATCCGACATTTGCAATTGCGTTCCTCTTGCACGGACCGCTGCCATGACCACCACCACAACAACCACAACCACCACAACCACCACCACAACCACCACAACCACAACCACCACCACAACCACCACCACCACCACCACAAGCAACCAACCAACGCCTACATCATCACTGAAAATGCATTCTGTAATATAATTTTGATCTTCATTAAGTCCTCAGGGTGTCAAAATTGATTTAGTATTGTATTTTCGTAATATTTTTCTTAATTGCGGGTTTCGTGGAATACAATTTTTTGTATTTTGATTGAATTTGCAATTATTTTTTTTATTAAATCATCTCATTCATTGTGTTTGAGCGATAGAGGTGAAAGTTGCGTGTGTATGATTGACACGAATGTTGCATGTGCATGACAGAGACGAATGTTGCAGGTGTATGACATACACGAATGTTGCATGTGTATGACAGAGACGAATGTTGCAGGTGTATGACAGAGACGAATGTTGCAGGTGTATGACAGAGACGAATGTTGCATGTATATGACAGAGACGAATGTTGCATGTGTATGACATAGACGAATGTTGCAGGTGTATGACAGAGACGAATGTTGCATGTATATGACAGAGACGAATGTTGCATGTGTATGACATAGACGAATGTTGCAGGTGTATGACAGAGACGAATGTTGCATGTATATGACAGAGACGAATGTTGCATGTATATGACAGAGACGAATGTTGCATGTATATGACAGTGACGAATGTTGCATGTATATGACAGTGACGAATGTTGCAGGTGTATGACAGAGACGAATGTTGCATGTATATGACAGTGACGAATGTTGCATGTATATGACAGTGACGAATGTTGCATGTATATGACAGTGACGAATGTTGCATGTATATGACAGTGACGAATGTTGCAGGTGTATGACAGAGACGAATGTTGCAGGTGTATGACAGAGACGAATGTTGCATGTATATGACAGTGACGAATGTTGCATGTATATGACAGTGACGAATGTTGCATGTATATGACAGTGACGAATGTTGCATGTATATGACAGTGACGAATGTTGCAGGTGTATGACAGAGACGAATGTTGCAGGTGTATGACAGAGACGAATGTTGCATGTGTATGACATAGACGAATGTTGCAGGTGTATGACAGAGACGAATGTTGCATGTATATGACATAGACGAATGTTGCATGTATATGACAGAGACGAATGTTACATGTGTATGACAGAGACGAATGTTACATGTGTATGCAACATCTGGGTCGTTCCCTGGTAGAACTACCGCCTGAGTGCCACCCACAACAGTTGTTTGAAACTCCCTGGCACCAGTTGACTGGGAGGTGAACAGCGGCATCAGGTGAAAGGAAACGTGGCCAACTAGAGACCTGTGTAACAAAGACAGACTTGTGTGACACAGACAGAAGACCTGTGCAACAAAGACAGACTTGTGTGACACAGACAAAAGACCTGTGTGCTACAGAGACCTTGGCTACACTTGGCTTCCACAGTGGGAGCAGTGTTTGGTGTGTGGCACAGATGGCCGGGGAGCAGTCTGTGCCATGTGGACAAGACTCCCCTGGTGCGTATCTCACGGCTCTGTTGGGGCTTGGCTTCCTCCTCTTTAACTGCTTCTCTTGGAGGCTTGGCTTCTACATCGTTAACTGCTGCTCTTGGGACTAGGCTTCCTCCTTTTTAACTGCTGCTCTTGGAGTCTTGGCTTCCACCTCTTTAACTGCTGCTCTTGGGACTAGGCTTCCTCCTCTTTAACTGCTGCTCTTGGAGGCTTGGCTTCCACCTCTTTAACTGCTGCTCTTGGAGGCTTGGCTTCCACCTCTTTAACTGCTGCTCTTGGAGGCTTGGCTTCCACCTCTTTAACTGCTGCTCTTGGAGGCTTGGCTTCCACCTCTTTAACTGCTGCTCTTGGAGGCTTGGCTTCCACCTCTTTAACTGCTGCTCTTGGAGGCTTGGCTTCCACCTCTTTAACTGCTGCTCTTGGAGGCTTGGCTTCCACCTCTTTAACTGCTGCTCTTGGAGGCTTGGCTTCCACCTCTTTAACTGCTGCTCTTGGAGGCTTGGCTTCCACCTCTTTAACTGGTCCACTCCAGGCCGCCCACCCGCCAGTCTTAATATTTTAGCTCGCTCATTTTTTTTTTTGAGAAAGGACATCATTGATTTTCCGAAATGTGAGGCTCTTTCTCAGGCGCGGAGCGGAGGCGGGGAGCAGGTTTTTACTTAGATGTATTGCTTGTAAAGCTCTCGTTGCCTTCTGTGGGTGGGCGTCCATGTTTCTGTCTGGCGGAGAGTCATGGGTAGGGTGTGCCTGGTGTGGGGTCATGGGCAGGGTGTGCCTGGTGTGGGGTCATGGGTTGGGTGTGTCTGGTGTGGGGTCATGGGCAGGGTGTGCCTGGTGTGGGGTCATGGTAGGGTGAGTCTGATGTGGGGTCATGGTAGGGTGTGTCTGGCGTGGGGTCATGGGTATGGTGAGTCTGGTGTGGGGTGATGGGTAGGGTGTGTCTGGTGTGGGGTCATGGGTAGGGTGTGTCTGGTGTGGGGTCATGGGTAGGGTGAGTCTGGTGTGGGGTCATGGTAGGGTAAGTCTGGTGTGGGGTCATGGGTAGGGTGTGTCTGGCGGAGAGTCATGGGTAGGGTGTGCCTGGTGTGGGGTCATGGTAGGGTGTGTCTGGCGTGGGGTGATGGGTAGGGTGTGTCTGGCGTGGGGTCATGGGTAGGGTGAGTCTGGTGTGGGGTCATGGGTAGGGTGTGCCTGGTGTGAGGTCATGGGTACGGTGTGTCTGGAGTGGGGTCATGGGTACGGTGTGCCTGGTGTGGGGTCATGGGTAGGGTATGTCTGGAGTGGGGTCATGTGTACGGTGAGTCTGGTGTGGGGTCATGGGTAGGGTGTGTCTGGCGTGGGGTCATGGGTACTGTCTCTGGTGTGGGGTCATGGGTAGGGTGTGCCTGGCGTGGAGTCTAGGATAGGGTGTGTCTGGCGTGGGGTCATGGGTAGTGTGTCTGGTGTGGGGTCATGGGTAGGGAAATGACTCTCTCACTATTACACACACACAAAAACACAGTTTCAAATGTAGATA